CAGGCCCGTGCGCAGGGACCAGCTGGCACCCGGCATGGCACTGGGCTGCCACGGGTTCAGGTGAGGGGCAGGTGAAAGCGTCTGAGGGGCCATTACCATTGTTAGTGTAATAAATATTTATTACAGCCCTTCTGACCTTGCTACACTTTGTCCTGCCAGCGTCCCCTCGTTTCGGTGCAGTAAACTCCTGTTTGCGGCATGACAGTAACTGTGCCCCGCTCTGTACTGCTCTTTGGGGCTGGTGTCCCTCTGCGTTTCCTATACACACATTTATGGGATTGTTGGCTAGTTTAAGTCTTGTCCTCCACCACTTGTTTGAATGCCTCCATTATTTTTGTCCCTCGCCCCCACACAGTTTGATTTTGCTGCATTTCTCCTTCCAGCCACCCATGAGCCTGTTGCCACTCTCATCTGTTACAAAATCTGAGAGACACAGAACGGATCAGGTTGGAAGGAATCACAGCAGGGTCATCTGGTCCGCCCTCTCAGCTTAATCAGGGTCATCCCTGAGCACATGGCACAGGATTGCATCCAGATGGTTCTGGAATATCTCCAGGGAGGGAGACTCCACGCCCTCTCTGGGCAGCCTGTACCAGTGCTCACAGCCTTTTCCAGTGCTCACAGCCTGTTCCAGTGCTCGCTCACAGTAAAGAAGTTCTTCCTCAGTTCAGCAGGAACTTCCTGTGCCTCAGTTTCTGCCCATTGCCTCGAGTCCCATTGCTCAGCATCACCGAGTAGGTTGCAGATTACTTGCCCACTCCCCTGCTCATTCACTCCCATCTCCTTTTCTGACTTCCTAGTGGATTGTGCCTCTGCATGAGACAGTAGCCCAGCTGTCCTGCGCCAGGTATCTATAGAGCAAGAATAATGTGGGTCTATACTGAGTTACGTGGGCTGTATATGATTTTAATTAAGAGATTTGCACAAGGGAAATCAGAAGGGCTTTGCTGGCTGGAAGTAGAAGGTCTGTGCTGAAGGATTTCTGCAGAAGTATTACTTGCAAAGTAGAAGAAATACTTGAGATTTTGAGCAGAGACAGGCAATGTAATGGGATAAATGAGGTGAAATGAAAGACAGGACTAATGTGATTAGTGAAAGGCAAAAAATAGAAATATCAGTATAGAAAATGAGAGTGATTAGCACTAATGTTAATTCAAAAGTATTGGCACACAGAGAAAAAAGAGTGAGCCCGTGAAAAATGTTATGGGGACTTTGAAAAAAACATCTATCAAGAAGTCAGTCCATTACCATAATTTTTATGTTTTTACTAGTAAGAATAGCAAGGGGTTAATGGTGGCATTAAAACAAACAAACAAAAACAAAAAAAAAACCAAACCAGAATTTAACTCCATCATTTATGTTTTTGGTTTCGAAAAACTAAAAGGGTGAGGTCAATAGTAGAGATCTAACCTCCATGGGAAAAAAACTGACTTTGTTAAGAAATAAATCACAGATTCTAAGAGACATTAACACATCATAACCAAACTCATGTTTTAGAAATATCTCTAGGGACATTCTGGGGGATTTGAAGAGAAACAGGGGAACTAGAGAAGGAAACAAAGGTTGGTGGGATGGAAGCTAAGAGGAGAAATATGCTCTTTCCAAACAGGAACTTTTTTCCCCCAAAAGTACTATTTCTTTTTGCAGAACTAAAATACCATCTTATTAATACTTTTACTTGTTTTAAAGTTCTTGCACAAAATAGCTATAAGAGCGTAACACCTTAAAATGCCAAAAGTATTAGCTAGAAGATCTCTGCTAGTTAGATACTGAGGCAACAAAATCACTGGTTGAGATTAGAGAGATTAGAGCAACTGGTTTTCTAGCCAGCTTTTAGCTGAGACTTAATAAACAAAAGAGGGGTAATTTATTATATCATAAATTATTAAATATGTTAACAAACACAGCAACACAAGGTTATTTTTGTTTAAAACCCCCTGGGATTAATAACATACATACATACTGGGATTGCAAATTTGCACAATATTTCTAAGATCCAGAGCATGATTTATTTAATATGATTTATTTTTTGAAATATTATATCAATTGGATTTAAACTGCAGCTACCTATATTTGAAATAATATGAAAAGATCAGTATATTTAGAAAAGTATTTCTTAGTAAACTTTAAAGTATTTCTCCAGAGATGTCGAAAACAAAATTAGAAAGAATAAGAGATTTTCTTACATTCTTGATCCCTTACTCCATTAAGGTTTTATCACTTTGAAGTTGACCTGATGTGACCTTAACAGTTGTGGTTAATTCTCTAATACATAGTTGGTAACTGGGTAGAGAATAGGCTTATATTGGAGACCCCAACCAATAGCGAGATACATAAGGAGATAGGAAAATTTATCTCAGTATTTATCTGGGGGGAAAAAAGGCATTTGAAAGCATAACATTGCTATATGGTATAAGATTTAGCCAGCAATATTTTTTAGCAAATTCCCATTTTCCATTTAATCCTTTTTTAAGGGTTGACTCAAACACAGTGTCTGTAAAATGAAAATGTTTTTGTCGTTTTGAGGTGGAGTACAGCAGGTTAGAGACAGGTTTTAACCAGAGTGATATTTGTGATCATGATCTGTACTTGGCACCTCTTTCTAGGGACCTCTGTGTTTAGAACAGTACATCATCACTCTGTTTTTTGCAAGTGTTTCAATTTTTGTTTTCTGAGCATTATAAGATTGCAAAATTAAATTACTCCAACAGAAATGTTAAGTTCAAATTGAAGTTGCTCACTGTGTTGCCCTTGGTTTTCTTCCAGCAAAGGAGGAGATAGGTGAGAGAACAGAAGAGCTCCATCATTACAGCTGTTAGGAGTGCTTTGGGACAGAAGGGTGTGTGTAGTTGCTGGGATGTTAGCACAGTTTACTGCAGAAGACTGCTGAGGATCGATATACAGTGTTTACTTTTGATTAAACCAAAGCACATGCATTATTTAGTTGTTACTCATGGTCCTCTTCCTTCTGCTGGCACAAATTTTGTGATCTCTCTTTCCTCCTTCAATAAAAATATAAAAGCATGAGATTTTCATATGAGCCTAATATCTTCATGCTTTTAGACAAAATTTTTGTTCATAATATCTTCTTATTTGCTTACAGATTCATTATACAGAATTTCCCTCTCTCTTCATAAAAGCTGTGATGTTTAGTAGAGACCTAGAAAACTATCAACAGGAAAGGACGGGATTTCACTGTATCTCACATTACTTGTCAGAACCAGAGGAACAGCAGTGTTTGGCACAGTGTTTTCTTCCATAAAAATTATTGCAAATGTATCAGGCCAAAGAGATAACAGCTGATATGCTGGCTCAAGCTTTTTGGTTTTGTGGGATTTTTTTATTGTAAGGCCCATTGTAAACAAATAAACAGCACATATAGATGCCACAAATGCTTACAATTTTTAGATCAAGAGTCATGTTAAGGGCTGTATATTGTCATTGGTATGTGGTAGAGCTAGATTGGATTAACCTGCTATCACTACAGGCCTCTCCCATTTATACATCTGTTGGTTCCACCTCTAGAAGAAAAGGTCTTTCATAGGACTTGCAGCTGTCTGCTGGACCTCCATCCTAGGAAAGAGGGATGCTTCACCGAGGCAGTATGACTCAAAATGTTCATGCTTCCATGCCAGCAACTTTGTTTGCCCAGGACCATTTTTAGTGCTTCCATTGCCCTGCTGCGGGTCTGGCAGCCCCAGAGGGGCGGCCCCTCTCAGTCCAGCCATGGTGCTGCCCTCAGAGCAGCCCTGACTGCAGGCACGGGGCCACACAGCAGAGCACTGCAGCCTCGCAGGGGTGTGTGCTGCCAAGGGGCTGCTCCAGTGCATCTCTGCTATGGGGCTGCTCCAGTGCATCTCTGCCATGGGGCTGCTCCAGTGCATCGCTGCCACGTCTCTGCTCAGCGTGAGCTGCTCTTCACAGCATCCTCCTCCTCCCAGCAGGGCATGCCCGGGGAGCCTCTCGCTGCACAAACCCCGGGCAGGCTCAGCCAGCCACGAGGAAGGGAACCAGAGACAGGCTGAGTGCAACACTCACTGATGAAGGCAAATAATGTCAAGCTAGCAGGCAGTTGTTTGTTTACTTATTTATTCTGAATGTGCCAGAGAGGATGTCAAACTTAAATCCAAGGCATATCACTGTAACCTAAGCAACTGTAACCATTACAGCCATTTCACACTTGAATAGTTTCCCTACCTTTAATTTTGCCCGCATTTTTCTAATTCCAATTTCCTGGAGGGGAGAGAGGGAAGAGCAAAATTTTGGAATGAATTTTAAGTGGAATTTAATACTTAGCAGATTTCTGGAAACCAGTATGGGTTGGTACTTTTGTTTTTGTTTTGGTTGGGGTTTTTTTGGGGGGGGGATTGTTTGTTTGTTTGTTTGTTGTTAGCTTTTCATCTTGTTTTGTACTTTAAAAGATAAAAATTGCTATTTCATGTTTCTGTTGTGTGGAGTGTATTATAGCTAATCTTGAATTCAACTAAAA